TGATAAAAACACATGGACATATTGGATCATTGGTATAATCTTCTTTAGTCAGACATTCATTGAGGCGATTATACCACATACGTCCAGATTGTTTGAGCCCATACAGAGACCTTTGTAATTTACTAGAATAAATATTTTTAGAATTTGATTTGCATGCTTCAAGCATGTTGAATCTTTCGGGGATTCTCATATAAATATTATTTTCAAGATTCCCATATAAATATGCAGTAACGACGTCCATTAGACGCATATCTAATTTTTCATTTATTGCAAAACTCACAAGATATCTAAGGTGAATACGTTTCATCATAATCAAATCCAGGCCTTTGTGAAAATCCTTGGGCTACAAGTCTAGTTTTATACCTCACAATTTCATTTTTCTCATTTCTTTTTCTCACAAATACCCATTTATATCCTACTGGCTTTACACCTTCAGGTGTTTGGACTACAGGTCCAAAAATTTTTCTTTTAGCCAGTAAGTCCAATTCAGATTGGATCGCATCTTTCCATTTTGGCCAATCATTTCTACGTCGACATTCATCAACCGATCTAGGTTCATGATTCTCGTCTTCTGCCATAATATCAAGTGCTACGTTATATGCAAAAATATTATCAATAATTATTTCTTTTCGGTTCCAACTTTTTCTTGAAGTGAAATTTTTTTTTGAATTTTCTATAATTTCATTCTCTTTAAGAATTGGCTCTTTAGGAGCGACCTCTTCAGGAGGTTGAATTTTGTCACTAATTGTTGATTCATCTACTCCTCTTTTCTTTCGATGATTTTTATCTTTAGAACCAAGAGGTCTCCCACGCTTCAAGCGTGCTTTAGACTCATTAGCACTTGTAATTTGTCCTTCAGGGACATCAATTTTAATCGGAGTATTTTCAGCAGGAATATGTGATTTAGTAACTCTTCTGGAGTCGTTAAATGCATCCGGTAATTGATTTGCAATTCTTTGCAAATATATAATCCTTTGAATTTCTAGTTCACATTCTTTAGTACGAGAATCAAGGAAATTCAACGATTTTTTCCAAATAATTTCTTTTTTAGGTTGATTTTTATCTCCCCCTAATGTCGGAAAATATGATTCATCAAAATGGCAATCTGCAAATCTCGCAGTAAATAAATCACCTGTTAATGGTTCCATATACTTTATGATTGAAGATGATTTATATCCGACATATATCCCCAATCTTCTTTGGGGGCCCAATTTACTACGTTGGGGCGGTGCAATTGGGACATATACTGCACAATCAAATATTCGTAAATGAGAAATATTGGGCTCATAACCAAAAGTTAATTGTAGGGGAGAATAAGTATGATAACTTGTCGGCCTAATTCTCACAAGTGTTGCTGCATGTAAAATAGCATGTCCCCAAGCAGATGAAGGAAGTTTAGACCGCATCAACAATGGTCTAGCAATTAATTGTAGCCGTTTAATAAGTGATTCGACTAGACCATTTTATGTGTGAACATAAACTACAGGATGTTCAACAGTTATTCCAATGGACATACAATAATCGTCAAAAGCATGTGACGAATATACACCAGCATTATCTAGACGAATTTTCTTTATTGAATAATCTGGAAATTATGCTCGCAATTTAATTATTTGAGCAAGCAATCTCGCAAATGCCAAGTTGCGAGTAGATAATAAACATACATGTGACCATCTAGTTGATGCATCAATTAGCACCATAAAATATTGAAATGGTCCACATGGTGGATCTACAGGCCCACATATATCACCATGAATTCGTTCTAGAAATGCAGGGGATTCAGTCCCAATTTTAACTTGTGATGGTCTAATAATTAATTTCCCTTAAGAACAAGCAACACAAGAGAATTCATTGGCTTTTAATACTTTTTGATTTTTCAATGAGTGACCATGTGAATTCTCAATTATTCGTCTCATCATTATAGATCCGGAATGTCCGAAACGATCATGCCAAATCATAAAATCATTAGGAAGAGTAGACTTCTGGTCTACTAGGTGATGAATTTCAATTGTACTAATTTGTGCATAATATAACCCAGAAGAAAAAGAAGGTAATTTTTCTATTTCGCATTTTTTTCCATAAATGATACTTGTGATTAATAAAAATTCACCATTTGTCTCAGTCATTGTCTCGATATGATATCCATTTTCGCGGATATCTTTAAAACTCAACAAGTTTCTTCGAGACTTGGAAGAGAATAGTGCATTATTTACAATAATTTTAGTCCCTTCAGGGAGAAATATAGTGGCTCTTCCGGAGCCTTCAATCAATTTTGCACTACCACTAATGGTATTAACATTTGTCTCTCCCATTTTCAAACAAGAAAAATATTTTTTATTTTTCAATATGGTGTGCGTAGTAGCACTATCAATGAAACAAATATCATCATCACCATTATTTAATCTCAAATATTTGATATCAATTTCTTCTTCAGGAAGAAAATTTCAAACAAAAATAAATATTAATAAAGATGCGAAAATAAATATTCAATGGAAAGGAAATTACATGAAAGATATAAAGCAGCATAAAAATATCTAAATAATCATGGGATATTTGTTGACATTTTCAGGATGCTCAAAAAAATCAGCAACATCGAGGTGTGTCATGTCAGCATCATTACCATCATCATAGTCATTCTTTTGATCAATGAAATTTGTCTCAACACCTTTGTCTTTCTTTTTCAATGATGCTTAATAGAGGTCAACAAGATGCTCAGCCGTACGACAGGTACGGGACCAATGATCTTCCATACCACACCGGTAGCATTTTTCTTCATAAACTTTCTTTTCTTCATTTTTCTGATCGTAGTTATTTTCCCTCTTTTGGAAAACATTTTGTTGTTTGCCACGGTTAAAATTTTCACGAGGCACAAATTTATTACGATCACGTCCACGGCCACGACCACGTCCGCGACCTCCTCCACGGCCACCTCTACGGCCACGTCCACGACCTCGACCAGAATTTTGAAATTGGATCGCATTCGCTTCAGGGAATGGACTTGCACCAGTTGGTCGGGACTCATGATTTTTCAGCAACAATTCATTGTTTTGTCCAGCCAAGAGAAGACATGCAATAAGTTCAGAATATTTTTTAAATCCCTTCTCTCGATATTGCTGCTGCAGGAGCATGTTAGAGACATGAAAAGTAGAAAATGTTTTCTCTAACATATCTTCATCAGTGACTTTTTCGCCACATAATGATAATTGAGAAGTGATTCTGAACATGACTGAATTATATTCGTTGACAGATTTAAAATCTTGCAGCCGTAAGTGAAGCCAATCATATCGGGCTTTTGGAAGAACGACCAACTTCAGGTGGTCGAATCTTTCTTTCAAATCTCGCCAAAGGACAAGAGGATCTTTAACAGTAAGATACTCTGATTTTAATCCTTCATCTAAATGATGACGAAAAAAAATCATAGGTTTGGCACGGTCTTGGTTTGAGGATTCATTTTTTTCCACAATAGTATTACCAAGACCCATTGCCTCAAGATGGATTTCAACATCCAATACCCATGATAAATAATTTTTTCCAGAAATATCAAGAGGTACAAACTCTTGTTTTGTAAGATTAGCCATAAGAAATTGAAATAAGTTTTTGAGTTAGAAATTTACCTTAGAATTTTCTTGAGCAGAATTTCGATAAAATCTAGTGCTTCACCTTTGTTCAATGTAGAGCCTCCGTTTTCACCTTTTGCTCAAAAGTAGAGCTTTCATGCTGATAACGTGTTGTAAAACTAATAAACTACTATAATATGAATAGAGATATTTGAGAAAGAAGTAGAGAAAAGGGAGAAAGATATCCTTATATTTCAACAAGATACAAAAGTCTCACAAAGGGTCTCAATGTACCTCTATATATAGGCACTACAAGATTAAAGGTACATGAATTCTATTAAACATCCACTACTACAATAATATGAAGAAACCTATGAAACGGTTTCTCCACTACATGAATAGATTTATGGATTGTAACTTCTATACATAATGTAGCCATAAAATCATGAATTAATCCCCTTGGGAATACAAAGGGACATCCACATTTTTTGTTATTTCATAACAAAAATAGATTATATACATCTTTCCTAGCACAACGCTTGTAGTCTTATTGCAAAAAGTATCGTTTTTTCATATTCCATTTTAAATATTTATTAGAGATATGATTTATACATCTTAATATTTTATAAGTTTTAACATATCTTTTCCAATAAATATTAGACAAATAAAAACCTAAAAAATTACTTTCTAAACAAATAAATCTCATAACTAGCATATTTATTTTTATTTTTGTGCCATCAGTTAAATCATCTCTTACCCAATCTTTCTGTATTATGGAAAATTTATCAATTTTTGGTATCTCTTCTTGTCACTTAATCTCAAAGAATAAGGAGAGTGTTTATAAAATTAAATAAAATTACAAATTGAAGCAGGCGATGCACTTATAAATGCTTTGTACATAATTAACCTAGCATTTAAACCCCTTCTCATCATGTTTCTACTCTCATTAGGAAAAAAAATATCAATTTTATTTTTTTATGTTCCATTAAAGTATAAATAGGTGATTATCTATATGACTATATCTTATGGAAGTTTGATAAGATTATTGCTTTTCAAACTCATTTTAGGAATATATTTTGACGGCTGGTTTTGATTATCGAGCAAGTTTTGATTGGTCATTGAGCAACTTATGACTTGTTCCACAATTTGCTCAATGACCTTGCAGTTTGAAGATATCATTGAGCTAAAACTGGGAACATGTTTTGCTTATAAAAAATGGAGGCTCCAATATGAATAGAAGAGTCGAGAAAAACATCAATTGTAACTAATAATAGTAGTGATTAGCGAATAAACGAACAAACAGAAGTGAATAGTTTCGCAAGAAGTGGGCAATGCAACTTTATCATTTTACATCCTCCTTGCGTTTCTTTACAATAGATACAAATTATTTGCTATTTCACTCCAATGTCATGCAATTTTTAGAGCATGCTTTTGGTACTAAAATTTCGAACTGCCAATTCACTTAATATTATATATTTTGCTTTTGGTTGATCCCTACTAAATCAGGTAAAAAATGAGCTCCAATGGCAAAGCACACTGGTACAGTAAGGCATGCTTATAATATTTTACCTTGACTAGTATGGAACAAATCAAAAGCAAAGATTAAATTCGCAAAACGCGTGAAAGATTCAAAATTTCCAGCGGCTAAAACATTAAATCCTACATGAAGGAAGAGCACCTCGTGCTCTTGTTCTTCCTGGTTTTGCAACTAAAACATTGAGGAACAAAGAAGCAGTGCTTTACGTACTGGATTGATGCAACAAGTTTGTCAAGTACTTCAACCATCTGAAAGCCAAATTCAGGACTTATATATTCCAAGCAAATCAAGTACACTCCAAATTCTTCCCCAGAAAAATTAAACGCCAGAAGAGTTCCAAGTTCAGAAGCCATATCCTACTGCAGTTGGAGTATATACATAAAGCTGAACCAGTAAAGTTTCACCTAGGACCAGAATGCTGTATGCCATGGCGCTTGGAAAAAGCTGAACTCAGTAAAGTTTCACCTAGGACCAGAATGCTGTATGCTATGGCGCTTGAAAAATTCTCTGAAACCATAGGTGCTGACATCATAGTTGAACTGGGAATGCAAACAAAGACTTGATCAAACAACAATTCGTCACGAGAGAACGAGAGATAGAGAGAGAGATTTATACTAACTACTATCAAACTTAAGATAAGGCTAACTTAAGGTAGAAAACAGGGATTTACAGTTTAACACGTATTCAGGTTGAAAGAAAGTGATGAGTTCCACATTCAAGATACAAAAGGCTAAGGATGATAAAAATACATAAAAAGATTCAGAAGGTGAAAAATCCAATCTGTTACAAACAGCAATCAAGATTGAGTTTCAGATGGTAAAACATACTGGAAAGAAATTGAATTCTATAGAATGAGGATTATAACATAGACATTTGGCTAATGTCATATACGGTATCACTGTAAACAAATGTTTACATGGGCAAGGCTTTGGTCTTCACCACATATCCAATAGCATTTAACATGTGATTATGTGTTAAGCTCTTGACAATGATCTCTTTTACACTGATGACGTCTATAAGGTTGATCAACAGACATAACCAGCTCTATCATAACCTGAAGACTATGATATTCCATATAAAACTAGTACTCATTATACTTCAGTTGTATTTGTTATGAAAATTTTCCAACTCAACAGAATAAGAAAATTCAACTTACTTGGCTCATGAATGAAAGTACAATTTAAGCAGTTAAAAAATCTGTTTAAATACTAATAAGAATGCATCAGGTCCTTCACTTCCAACAGACTTAAAAAGCCATCAAGATGTCCCATTTTAGTTATGACAATGCGATGCTTTAGACAAGTATCTTAGTATGTTCTCTTTTCATGGGAAACAATGAAGCCCAGGAAGTATAGTTCATTGGGCATGAGCTGCATGCTACAGCGTAAACACACAACATCACCTCAAGTTCTCCATCCAGATTCCAGAGCATATCTATTTGTGTTCTTCTTGCCTAAATCCCTTCACAACAGACGTCAGAAACATAACACCTCCAAAATGTTGTTGCTAACAACTAGGCCAACTTAGGGACTTGTAATCATTGAGTATCAACTAAAGGTTAATTATAGTGGAAGATTTTGACAGCATCATGAGAAGGCATATATGCTGCAGCTCCCAGTTGATCCAATTTCAGATGCCACAATAAAAGGTAAAGATGTTTGTCACTGCTTCACTCTTCATCAATTTTCAATCTGGTGAAAAAGATCTAATTGATGGGCAAAGCCCATATAAAACTAGCATATGTAGCTTCAGAGGCATTAAGTTTGTCCTTCTCACTACATTCTACAGAGAAAAACAACAAAACACTATCAAGTGATACGCAAACCCCAATTTTTTTTACGAAGAATCCTCTTACATAATGAAATATGATTGTGAAATAGACCCAAAAACATCACATTTTGTGAATTGACCACTGCTGACTACGTTGATTTTCAATTTTGTTCATCTTTGACAAGATAATTTCAGTAATTCTACAGTAGCAAGCATCAGTAGGAGAAGGAGAAGAATCAAAGAATGGCGAATTTCCAAACTCACTAGCTTGTATACGGACCAGCTATGCTCTTGGAGATTCTTACTTTTCCACAAGGCTCGGAAAACTTTGCTTAATACTGTGTATTTTCATGTAATAACCAAACAGCAAGTAAAATTTGCGTCAATTAACTGATGACACATCACTAGTTTGGAAAAAAAGCTCTCTAGCAGCTCTTGAACACCAATACTTTTACAGCTCTTGCTTACGTAAATGTTTTTAAGACTATTTAACCATTACTACCATAAAAAAAAAATAAAAGAAAGTTACTGGCACAGCCCTGATACTTACACAAAACATGCCTATGGTCTTCAAATATGCTTAAAGAGTAACAAACTATCAGAACTTACGTACTTGAATTCTCAAAAGGCTACCTCACATATGTGACAACTTAGATACATATAGCTTTGTTGAGAAAAATTGTTTACCAAGAAGAAACTACATTCACTAGCATGTCAATGGGGAGGGTTTTGTGCCGACCCAATCCAGTTCCATCATAGTTTCATAACTCTTAGTTCAAATTCTCAAACACAGACCTTACCAAGAACCAGACCTTGTAAGAGAATTATGGGTTGCGAAGGATCTGGTTTTGTACAATATAGACCCAGACCCAGAGCCTACCTACGCCCTTATATGTTCATGTAAACTTGTGCAGGCTTGTAGGTGCCCACACATATAATAAGCAACATATGTTACATGATGCGTATACATGAGACAAGTTGCTAGAATCACTCATTAAGAGATTTTCTAGGTTTTCTGTTTTCTTAGGTAAGCTTTGAAACTCACTAGTAAAAGAACAGAACTGTAATTATTTAGTTATTCGCAACTACCATAAAGGAAAATCTTCTGTACCACGTATAAGAACTTGGTTTAGATCAGGACATACTGAGCACAGAATAGTGTTCATCACAAAGTTGGTCATCCAGTGAGACAGACATAAGACATCCAAACTACAGAATTTAAAGTGCACAAGAAAATTATGGTCGACTTGTAAAATAGTGAACCACTTTGAGCCAGTATGATAACAAGCAACAGTTCAGATCCGGGGTGACACTCTAATGCAATTTAAGCTATCATCAAGTAAAGCTTCTTTCTAGAAGCCACTATATGAAAAAATAAAAAGAAGAAAAGACATTGAGATCTTAGAGAAAGGATAAGAGAACATAGCACGAAAGACTGCCGCAAGTCCATAAAGACTCAAAACTTACAGGTAAAACTTGCACAGAGTATTTTGTAATATTTGGATCAGCAACCCTTCCATGATTAATTGCCTGGTTCAAAAGACAAAGATAGAGCTTAATGAGGCACGTAATTGTCAGCTGCACATAGCCCAAATCTTAGATTAATTGACTTGGACTTACAAAATAGGAATAAGCATCCTACCCTGCTCGGGTCCACAATACTACCAAAAGTTCTTACTCAAAACAAATGGGAAAAAGAAAGCATCATGAAACTACCTTCTCTTGAAGAAAGAAAGAATCTGACTACTTAAATCCACAAGTAAGAAAGAGATAAGGAGAGGAAAACGCCTCAAATACCAAATAGCTGGCATATCCTCGATAAAACACCCAAAATGAAATTATTCCACATATAATAAACAAGATTTAAGGTTTTTACAATTCCAGAGAAGATCAGGAAAGTTGACCCCATATTGATCACACACTTGACTCCATTTTCTGAAATTTTTGCTGGTAGGTGGATATATGAGGACAGGAGACCAAATATTTATGCTATCCTCTATTCCTTGATAACAAATAAATAATTTCAAGGGAAAAAAAAAAGAAATGATTTTTAGATTAACATTCATAGGTATGTTTTCAGTATTGAAAAAGTTCAAAAAATTTCAAGGTGGCAATGGAACAGATACTCTTGATTTTTGTAATAGACCAAGTACTCCCATTAGTATCAACAGATAATCTTATTTTTTTGTAAAAGTTCTCATTAATATCAGAGTCCATGTTTGATTAACATCAAACTCTTTGTTGCCATGAATGCATATATAGGAAGCAAAACTGGGTTTCCCAATACAGCTGAATTTTCTACTGGAATGATTAACTACTTAAGCAAAATAATGGCTCTGTATGGATTCCTAGTTTTTGGAAGAGGGTAGGGGAAGGAGGACAGAGGGGGAAAGAGGAGGACAGAGGGTGGAGGGAGGAAGTGGCGGTCCTTTGCGGTGTTGGTGAGGGGTGGGGGTGGCGGTGGCGGTGGCGGTGGAGGGAGCCGGCAGAGAGGAGTGAAGGGCGGCCGGGAGGCTGAGGTAGGGAGGAAGAAGATGTTTTGAAATTATAAAAACATCCCCAAAAAATTTTAACTTCTTAAAACACCCTATCATATAATTGTACAGTAAAGTTTTTGAGATACAATGCTATGGCATGGCTCCTAAAAAAAATCATCTAATCCATACGGACCCAATAATTTCAAGAGGTAAACAATGATCAGATTTGTCATTACCATTTTTAGGTATGTTTATGGTAATTCAAAAAAAAATTAAATCAAACAGATAATACTGATTTTTGTAAGATTTCAAAAATTCCCTTTAACGTCAACTAGATAATCTAGCTTTTTGTAAGAATACAAGTATTCATCATCACATGTTTGACTCAACATCAAATTATTTGTCATTGTGAAGGTATTGACACAAAAAAACAAACTGGGTTTCCAAATATAGCTAAAGTTTCATTGGAACCCTAAAATCATATGCATAGGGACACTCAAAACAGACAGCTTTGTTGAAGTTTCTTCTTTGCATTAAAAAATCCAGGCAATCAGGTACAAAGATATTTATATACTCACTTCTACTCAAACAATGAGGTTGCATACCACAGCTTATTATAACTTTGCTACAGTCAAAGTGTCGGCAACTCGAACTAAGTATAGACTAAAACCTTAAAATTTTATCAATCTTATCATGATAACTAGCTCAAAATACACTACACAGTTAAAAAGAATTTTAACCCTTCATCTTTGCTTGAATTAGCCAGGAAAGCATTACCTGATGAATTTTATGGCAAGTGTTCTGCACTTTCAAGCTTCAACCAATTTCATTTCATGTACACTGACAAATGAATTGCATTTCTCACTTATCCATCAACCAGACTTGCAATGCTCTCATTACTACATTCAGCCAGAAGTCATTCTCTATTACATCGCACTTAAGTACTAGTACACATGAAAGACCTTTAATAGGATGTGGGATTAGAGGAGTATGGGCACATTATCAATTCCACAAAAACATTCTACAAAACTAGAAAGACAAATTGCTCCATCAGACGTTCAAAAAATTTGGCATGACATTATAAAGAATATAATAATAATTGTCAATTAATGTACATGTAAAGCAAACCACAAAAAGATATGGTTTTCAGGTTACACTTACTTGTTCAGGACTATGAAATATCTCAATAAATGGATATTCCGTCTTCTGGCGAGATATACAAAAACCAGGATACTTTGGGCACTCAACCTGTTATAGCAAAGATATTTCCAGCACAGAACCAAATTAGTGAGATGGCCGACTATTCTCAATACAGGGAATTCTTCCTAAATGTAAATTCAAATGTAAATTCAATGATCGGCGATGTACATTGGCAAAATTTATTTCAGTTATACAGCTATTAGCACTAAGATAGTTATAAACCATGTAAGCATCCAGGTGTAGGCACACTAATATATACGCCTGTGGTGAAGCATTCTCGTATGAAAACCGACGTAATGAATGCACAATAACCTTCATATGCATGAAAAGAAGGTGGCTTCAGCTATATTCCAGCATTGAGGAAAGTGAAATGCAAAAACTAACAACTTCTATGGAATACTACTTCTGGAAAACAAAAATTTTGCTCTTGAGAAACATGAAGAATTGTTTGTGGACCTATTGTTCCCCTTCTAAATGTTTAATTGGGCAATAAGGAGAGGCATCACATTTTCGATTCATCACATTATACAGCTTATATTTCTACCAAGCACCCAAAAAACATGTGTCACGTCTAACCAAACATCCCAATTAGGAAGACGACGAGTGCAAAATAAAGCATCTAGAAGTGACTTACACGCAAAAATTTTACATGAGGATAGAAGTTGACTGCTGCTTCCTCAAGAACTTTGTCAAGATGCTTTGTAAGGTTACACCTGCATAAATTAGAAATGCATGACTTGAGTATATAGGTTCATGAGCAAGACAAACAGTCAAGGAAAAGAGAACAAAATGCAAAATTACTTGATGGTAAATGCAACAACCACAGGGTAACCTTGATGAAGAAGCTGGACAAACTCCCGCTCTGAAGTAAAACGAATAACCCTTGATGGCCCAAGATCCTTTGGATATCCAGTATAATACCTTCAAAACCCAATTAGGCAAAAGAATGTAAATAAGAAACAAGATAAGGGTAAAGAAAATCTCTAACTGGAAAGTCAGGGAGCTAGGACAAGAAGTAAATAGGTTAAAAATTTTGGCTTTGCAATCACACTGGGCTATAGTTTGGCATTAATTTCAAGGATTTAGCCATTCCAAAAAATTAAAACAAAAAAGGCATTTATGTTTTTCAAAGGTGGTCCAACACCAATGCATAGAGAGTTGATAGTCATGAAAATTATATGGCAAAGCAAAAGATACACCTCAGACACAACAATTACTTTCAATGGACCTAAGTCCAACTGCTATGAAGGATGGTCGCGTTTCCAAAGTGACTATTTCTCCAATAAATGCATGTTGAATCAGGAAAATCTTCCTAACAATAATTGAAACCAATATGAAGTAACATAGCAGGAAAAAAAAATGAATATGATACCAACTCTTGCAATATGAAAATTCATTCTTACCGTTCCACTACAATTAGTTTGCCATACTAAAAGTAGAAGTGTACAAATCAACGCAGTCAAAAAATACACTACACACCTGCAAGTTGCACGGAGATTAAGCATCATTTTGTCGAAAAAGGAAGGCTCCTCCATTGCAAAGGCAATAAAACAATGTAGCTTGAGTTTTGCCTTTTCTCAGCCTTTCTGCTAATACTATTATAGTTTTAAAAAAATGGCAGAACAAAAAATGGTCAGATTCATCTATTTGAAGAGCGCAAGATATTTAAATCAACATAAGACTTGCATCCTCTTGATCAAGTCTAATCAAACTAAAGCAGTTGGTAAACCAAAACTTTAAGTGAAAATATGAATAAAGAAGAAAAGATAGCCCAAGAATCCTAGTTTAAGAATAAAAACTCGAAGTAATAGTTTTCCTAGATGTATGCATGCCCACTTGCATGACACGAGAGGGTAGAATTTAGCTTATATCATGCAGAGAACTTTGTGACCCAAAAACTAGCATTACAAAAGCACCTCTCAAAACAATGCTTTCCACCCCACAAGAACCATAATTCACCTCTGCAACTGATCAATTTACCCTCACACCCAACAAATAGCTCATGTATCAAAATACTCCACTTGTTGCATGCGCAAACGGTGAAGCTTAGTGATCAAAGTCAAGTTCAGGCTAGTGTATCTATTAGTTGTCCACAAGGAAAAAAAACTATATTCCACTCTAAAATTATAATTTGGTAGCCAATCTTATACACACAAATTACCAAAAATAGGAAAATCCAAATCTCAAGACATAACATTGGGGGGAGGATTGGATTGGGTAGTACGATGGAAGGGGTTGTAAGTAGCAGGTCCTGGGTTCAACACCTCCCACTTAAGATTGGGAAAAAATCCTGTAACATTGCAAGATTGACTCCAGGGAAAAAAGATTTTACCAATAAAAAACTGCTAATGTACCACTATGTGAATTAAATAGATAAAATTTCACTTAGGCAAAACTTCACCAACAACTCAAACACACCAAACACCTCAAGATAAAGTTGCATAAATTTCAAAAACTGGACAGAGGTCTCTATGGTCTCCTCTTTATTCAAGCAATGATAAACCAAAGTGCAGCATTTGAATAGATTAACAATATCTCTTTTGTGACAGCAATTAAAAGTTTATGGCAAGTATACTTACTCAAAAGGTGAAAATCATTTATTAACACATTAGAATAGTCCAAAATTTTGACTGCTGAATTAGTTATAGTCAATATTCACAAAGTACATTACATAATGGACCACCCTCACACCCCCATTTTTTAATAAATGAGAATAAAATGGTATTTCAGATTTTTGGTTTATTCAATGAAAAAGAGAAAAACGATATAGGGTGAAGAATAAGAAACGGAAGACAAAGTAAAATTAATACTCCCTCCATCCCATTAAAAATGTCATACTTTCTATTTTGATTTGTCCCAAAATGCTTGTCACTTGCCAAAAATAGTTGTGAACTTTATGAATAATTTCCAATGCTTACCCCTATCTCACATGACCAAAAGGTAAGTGTTATTAGGCTCAGAAAGTCTTCTATCAAGACTTGCAACTTTGTTGTTAAGTTGATTGATATGCACGCACCAACGATTTTGAAATGATTGCCTTCCGTGTCTTCTCGCTCTAAATCCAACTAGAATAAGTCATATGCCAGCCAAAAAATATGTGGGCCCCGCTGTCATGTTTTGTCAATCCATTGTCCACCTTTCGTGTTCAAACGAAGGGCAAAATGGAAAACGTGGATGAATTCTTCAAAAGTCGGACACCGTTGATAATAAGTTGGAGCAATGGGTTCTACAATATGATCTACGCACGGAATGAACAACTGCTCTTTAGCTGTGAGAATAGAAAAGAACTATCTAAACTTGCAACTTAGTCCCTTGGATTTTTCTTGTTTCCTACTTTGGTCCCATGCTGAGGTTTAGATGCTTTCTCATTAATCCTCTGGAGTATATTTCTTCGAAGTTTTAATTAAATCCGTAAGTTGAAAAAGTGAAATGTAATTTAATTGAATTGCAACTGAGAATTAATTTGCCATTTTTCGAACCGCATTAGTTTAATTAGCTTCGTTAGTCTTGGTTCTCTTCTAGAACTAATGTGAGTGCAATGTGGTACATGGAATTGTGTAGCTTGTATTGCTTGCTTTTGTTTATTTACTCATGTTCATCATTGTAGAATGTTGCAACTGTTCTAGTACACATTCTTCTAGTCTACAAGCTGTCATACTTCTATTTCTTGTTCAAGGGATTTTTTCTTATTTCTTTTATATATTTCTGTTTATTTTTTTACCTTTCTTTTTTTATAAAACTAAAGTTCCAGAATGACAAAAAAAAAACCCTTAAACTTCTCGATTACTCCCTCCGTCCCGAAAAGTGTCACTTTTCGGGACTCCAACTTATTATCAACAGTGTCCGACTTTTAAAGAATTCATCCACATTTTCCATTTTGCCCTTCGTTTGAACACGAAAGGTGGACAATGGATTGACAAAACATGACAGCGGGCCCACATTTTTTTGGCTGACATATGACTTATTCTAGTTGGATTTAGAGCGAGAAGACACGGAAGGCAATCATTTCAAAATCGTTGGTGCGTGCATATCAATCAACTTAACAACAAAGTTGCAAGTCTTGATAGAAGACTTTCTGAGCCTAATAACACTTACCTTTTGGTCATGTGAGATAGGGGTAAGCATTGGAAATTATTCATAAAGTTCACAACCATTTTTGGCAAGTGACAAGCATTTTGGGACAAATCAAAATGGAAAGTATGACATTTTTAATGGGATGGAGGGAGTATTAATTTTACTTTGTCTTCCGTTTCTTATTCTTCACCCTGTATCCTTTTTCTCTTTTTCATTGAATAAACCAAAAATCTGAAATACCATTTTATTCTCATTTATTAAAAAATGGGGGTGTGATAGTGTGAGGGTGGTCCATTATGTAATGTACTTTGTGAATATTGACTATAACTAATTCAGCAATCAAAATTTTGGAGTATTCTCATGTGTTAATAAATTATTTTCACCTTTTGAGTAAGTATACTTGCCATAAACTTTTAATTGCTGTCACAAAACAGATATTGTTAATCTATTGAAATGCTGCACTTTGGTTTATCATTGCTTGAATAAAGAGGAGACCATAGAGACCTCTGTCCAGTTTTTGAAATTTATGCAGCTTTTCTCTTGAGGTGTTTGGTGTGTTTGAGTTGTTGGTGAAGTTGTGCCTGAGTGAAATTTTATCTATTTAATTCTCATAGTGGTACATTAGCAGTTTTTTATTAGTAAAATCTTTTTTCCCTGGAGTCAACCTTGCAATGTTACAGGATTGTTTTCCAATCTTAAGTGGGAGGTGTTGAACCCAGGGACCTGCTACTTACAACCCCTTCCACCTTACTACCCAACCCAACCCTCCCCCCAATGTTATGTTTTGAGATTTGGATTTTCCTATTTTCAGTAATTTGTGTTTATAAGATTGGCTACCAAATTATAATTTTAGAGTGGAATATAGTTTTATTTTCTTGTGGACAACTAATAGATACACTAGCCTGAACTTGACTTTGATCACTAAGCTTCACATCTAGGCAAAGCTTGTTTTGAACTACTTAAAATAATTATACCTTTTTTTTCCAAGCTGTAAGCAGTTTCAACATGTTCTCAACAGCCTTTAGCTTCTGTTTACCCAGAAAAGGCAAATCCAAAGAGGCAACAGCGAGATGCCTTTTGAAACAGCTTCTCAGATTTTCAAAACTTCTAAAACAAAAACATGCTTTCATTCTTTTCATTAGATATTCAACAATGAGCATTAAAGAGGCAAAAAAACCAAAAAAAATCTTGACTTCAATCCTGAATGACTAACTAAAAAAGAGAACATCTATGCAAAAGCTTCGAAGCAATTTGTTTCAAAAGCATATCCTACGAAGCACTTCTACCCTATTGCTAACATTTTGTTTGTCTTTTCTTTCTAGACTTCTTTAATCTCGTAACGTTTTTCATTTCGCATAAAACAGTGTAGACTTGATTTCATTCCTCAAATACCTATAACAAAATAAAGCAAGGAATCATGGAATCTATTTAGTGAAAATTTTATCATTTATAAGTAAAATGAGCCCTAAATTACCACAATTAGTGAGATACTACATTCATTAGCAAATGTCGTACCTAAAGTATTTCTTTGCAATCATGAAACATCTAAAGCAAAACACTAATTAAATATCCAAACAAGGTTCTAATTTTTCCACCTTGAATTGACTCAAAATTACTTTTATTAGCAGCTGCAAAGGTTTTTATTTTTCATTTCTTAAGTCATTCAATTACAAGCAGCCTTTTTCCACAACATTTTGCTCCACAATTATAACATACAATTACCAAAATTAGCGAGATAATACATTCACTAAGAAATTTTGTACCCACAAACATTTAGGCAAGCAAATTAATTACAAATCCAAACAAGGTACTAATTTTTCCATCTTGAATTGGCTCAAAATTATTCTCATTAGTAGCTCAATTTGCGAAGTTAATCAATTAGAATTAGCCTTTTTCTTAATTTTTTCAGTCAATGAAGACAATTAATCTTCTGCATTTCAATTAACAGCACTCAAAATTCAAAGAACAAACAAGGAAAAAAAGAAAAAAACCTTAGCTTATTGAAGTAGAATTCTGTTTCATGAATAATCGCTATGCATTTACAAATTTGCAGAACTACTGATAAAGAAAACTGTGTTGCTTACCTCAGAGCGCTCGAGAAGCTTCAGCGAAGCTGACGTCTACGTGAAAATCGTCATCGTCGCTGTGGCCATGCTTTTCTTATCAGTCGCAGCAGTCTCCTAGAAATTCTGTGCTGTCTTGAATTTTCTTATTTTCGCTTAATAAGTACAGGCTATTGATTCTCTTTCAATGGCAGAGGAGGAGATTTTGTAACGATGGCATCTAAGAAGAAGAGGAAGAGGAAGAGTGGCTTTGTTAGTTAATAGGAGAAGAGGTGCACTGTTTTGATTCTGTGAATGGGGTGGCCGGACCTGAATGAGGGATGAGGATTATAGGGTTTGACAATGATATCTATTTTGCAACTAAATCCCTGTATTTTGACTTTATTATCTTTTTCAACAAGTAACTTAATCTCTTTACAGTTTTACATTTTTTAAATATAATTTCATCCCCTGTGGATCTTTTCAACCTAATTACACATTTAATTAAACTTTTTTATTAAAATACACTTTATACCTATGTTTAGGCTAATCAACAGGTCGGATCTGGGTCAGAATTCATCATTCCGGACCCAGACCCGTCATATGATACCCCATCCGGATCCGGCCCGTCTACCCGACAGGTCTTCTACTTTAACCCACCAAAGCCTGTTTTGCAACAACTTAAAAATTAAACCTATTTTGCAAAGAATTAAAAACGAAGCATGTCGTCTACACTGTGCAATAAATGACTTTGGGGACCAACTTTGGGAACTAAGACAATCTAGGGTCGGCTACATTGACTTACAATCCATCCATGTTTAACATACTATACTACACTACTCTTAAGATAATAAGATATTAATTGCTTTACATCATGGTATTCTGATCAAGAATATACTGTTAGTAGCAATGTTTTAAAACCCGGACCGTTAATTGAACCGGTGAAGTGGAAGGGTCGAGGTTCAACCGGTCGGACCGGTTCAACCGTGGTTCAATAAATAAATAACTATATATATATACACACACACACTCATACATACATACCTGTGCATAGAATAAAATATAAATGTTATACCATAATTAACATAAGAGCAATATTATAGTTATCCAACTTACATGTCCAATTGTCTAAATATTAGAATTAACAAAAAAATATAAGTCTAGAAAACACTCAAAAGGTCCAAACAAGTTCAATTTCTGAGGCTTTTACTTCTTCGTCATTCTAGGACAACAAAGCTTTAAAAAAAGCCACCTTGACAAGTCGTCACCACCATCCAAGACCATTATATGAATCACTGGCAAGTGATAAAAGTATAAAATTCATATTAATACCGTCAACCAATTCATAGTGCAAAAACCAGTCCATGATCACTAGAGGGAAACTAGAAATTGTAAAACATACTACAAAATCAACTAACCATCTGCATATCAAAAAAAAATGAACGAGACTATATAAAAGGTTACTCAGCTCAAATTCACATCCTTAATTCGTTGATAAGAGTCCCCTTAATTCATTGCGTATACTACATAATCCACCATTTTTTTAAAAGTCCCCTTAGATTGTGCTACTAAAACATCTGCCATGAGGCAATATTAAAGATCAGATAAACGAGGGAAAACAAAATATAAGAGTCAGAAAAAGAACAAAGATAACTTGCATGAATCAAGAATCTCAAAACGTTGCTTTCCAGCACCTTAATAGTCGTGGAGATAGAGGAAGGAGGTGGGGGGAAAGTTGAGCGGTAATTTCAGGGAAATTATACAAAGTTTGGAGTTTAAGATTCCACCATTACATGACAAGATGTAAGATATCCCACTGATTTCTCTCATACAGACGTGTATACGAAGGAAATTCCCAGGTCTTAGCATATTATCAGCAGTAGATGGCAGCCAATTAAATGGGGTTCATGCACATTAATCATATCCACGATACAGTGCCTAAGTAATTTATGGCTAGATGAATCTGTGGTGGTATCAAGTCTTATTTTTGTAGAATGTTCTGTACCTAATCATTTGCTTTAGATGATTAACTTAGCTCAACACGATCACTAAATCAGCAACCTTACTAGGCCCCATCAAGATCGACTTCTTATTTGAATAAAGTTTGTCACATCCTCATGATCAAGCAAGATAAACCCTGATCATGGTCAACAAATAAGTAATCATGCGTGCAATCATCCAATGATCCAATGACATAACCTTTGTACTCCAGGCTCCAGAGAACAAAGAAACTGAAACAGAGAACAGAGAACAAAACTGAATAGCTAGTCTCGAGATTATTCTAGTAAACTGAAACAGAGAACAAAACTACCCAACTAATAAAAATTTCACCGCTATTTTCCTCCATAAATTCCAACATTTTCCCGTCAAGATAATCTGGCAACTTATTTTTTGGGTAGTATTTAAAAATTTCAAAAAACCCAAAAATATAAGTACAGCAAGATCAGAAATATACTAACAAAATTAAAAAAAGAAAGAAATTGATGAGACATATATACAGAGGGCCGAAAAAGAAATTGATGATACATATAAACAGAGGGCCGAAGGGATCAAGTTTACTTGTTAAGATAGAACTTCGTGCTGAGCACCGACGGCAAATCGGCAAGTCCACAAGAGCAACCAAGCAGGAAGACCGAAGACGCCAAAGCCTGGAGTAGTTGACTGAGAAGCCAAGCAGTCGGCAAAAGGAGGAAGCCGAGCAGTCGGCGAAAGCAGCGGCAGCAACCAAGCAGGAAGACTGAAGACGGCGAGGAGGCGAAGAGCCGAAGACTGGAGTAGTGGAGTGAACTATGAAGAGTAGACTGAAGATTAGCCGAGGTTTAGAAATTCGATGACGTTCGGTTTAGACGTTTAGTCCTTTTCGGTCAAAGACTCAAAATTCAGTCAATTTTCTGAAAAAATTAAAAAAACCACGGTTCACGGTTCGATCCGAGTTTAACGGTTTGAACGATTTTTTACGAGTTTAACCAAGGATTGTAAAATCGGGATCCTACGTAGGATCGATTTTAATTTCACAGAATCGGATCGTAAGATCCCACCAAAAACTCCCAAATTAACTAAATTAATTAATTTAAAGTTCATATACAGTTTTGTACAACTTAAAAAAATCAAATAAGTAAATTATTTATAAACATATAGTATTTTTTACCTATAGTTTGACAAGAAATAAAGTAACGGAATTCCAAAATGAAGAGAAAAGGTTCGGGCAAATTGTCTAATTAGAAGTAAGAATACAACTCATCTTAACGGTTGATAGTAAAAGCATTTAGTACACATATATAGCTGATAGGTATAATTAAAAGAAACAATCAAATTATGGGTCATGGGTAATCGCGGTTGTTTGCGTTGAGCGACTTCTTTTGCCGAAAATTCCTTAAGCTTTGACAAGGATACAAAGACAATAGAGAATTAGAGATTGGAGATTGGCAAAATTTTGTGAAATTTTATTGAAATCTAGATGGGAAAAGGTTTGGAATGGAGATTGGGAAGCACCAAAGAAGCTTTCTCTCTCTTCGTCCTTTGTGACTTTGTCTCTATTTGCTGTATTCATTTGTTCCTGAATCCTTTTTTTGTTGTACCTTTTGTTTTTTAGACAAAAATTGTTGCAAAATTATAATTAAAGGATCTAATTCTTTGATAAGTTATAAACCTATTCAAAATGTTTCCATTTAGTTTCAAAATTTAGCCCCACATTTATAAAATTCTCAAAAATTCGTAGGATCGCAATGGGATCGTAGGATCGTACGATCCCACGAACGATTCTAATGATCCTATGCATATTAAAGCAATTTTCGATTCTATGCACGATCCGAATCGATTTTGCTAATTTGGATCATAGGATCATACGATCCTATGATCCGGATCGCGATTTTGACAACCATGGGTTTGACCGGTTCTTTAACCAAGTCAACACAATCTATGAACCGAACCGGACACATGGCCGATTCACGGTTCGATCGGTCGAGTCGGTTCGGTCCGGTCCGGGTTTGAAAACCTTGGTTAGTAGTGGACGACTACCAATAATCTACATAAATTATGCAGAGTTAGTGGTAACAATCTGCTGGCATTTTTTTTTTCCAATGGTAGAGTAACACAATCTCTTTTGTGGGATGCATATGCTATGTTTTTCAGACTCTGACGGGAATCAACTCGGCCAAACTTAAGGGTCAAGGATCAATGGTTTTGACTGGGGTCGATAGAAGGTTGAACTGGATGATGTCACATATATATATTCCTACAAATCAAATTTACAAAATAGAAATTTCATACATGTTTAATCCTTCACAAATAGCGCAACAAGTTCATGTTCAATCTTTGACAAATATCAATCCAAATAAAACAACATGTTCAATTTCTAAACCAAAGAACTATGTAAGCCATGCTTCGTTTTCGTTTTCGTTTTCGTCTTCATCATCCTTATCTCCAATTTCATAACTTTTATTTGACTGATTTTCTTAACTTGTCGAAAACTTTTGTTTAAACTCAGTTCATGAACTTGTGTATGCAATCCTTCAAATATTTGAAACTGTTCGAGTTAGATTTTAACCAAATCACACTTGTTAAGTTACCAATTTTTTTTAATATTAATGGCTAGTGATTTAAAAAAAAAAAGCACTCCCTCCAAAATTCATCTATGTAGCTAATAATGGTCCATTGATTATGTGCTTGGCAACCTGAATCTTGATTGGAGGCATTCAAAGCTCAAGTAATTGGTATTAAATATATTTTAAAAGAATATAATGGTTTACCATCTTAGTAATTGGTATTAATCCATTTATTAGTCATGCGAGTTTTCCCATCTTCTAATTTACTATTTTCACTTGTCATCTGATCATATAGGTTGAGCCCATCTTTCGGAATTCCATGAATACTATGCCCTAAAATCACAGCATTCCAGAAAACTAAACTCTTCATTGGCATCCTATCAAAAACTAATCGAGTATTGTCCACCCTTCCACATCTATTATACTTCCACATCTATTATACATATCAATTAAGGGCATATTAACAATCAAACTAAAATTGCCAGATTCTCTAATTAGAGTTCCATGAACTGATTTTCCTTCTTTCAATCTGGCAGACCTACCACAAGCAGTAAGCACATTCACCTAGCTTCACCATTTCCCTGAATAACTTCTACCCATTTCTGGATTATATATGACCTATTCAAAATGGTTGAAATAGAATATCTTCCCCCTTCACCAGGACAAGAAGATTGTCAATAGACTGAGAGATCTGGATCCAATTCTCTCAATGATGAAATGTCCTTGAGATCGGATTTTAACCGAAAACAGACATCTCAAAGGATACCCATATTGGTTTATCTAATAGGGGTTTTTGACTTATGTTTGAATTGAATTCCTTATCTAATTCTATATTAGTAATTTCTGAAGGATATATTTTCATAAAGGCTGACTGTATTCTGGCCTTTTTTGGCATGCTTGATAAGAAGTTTAGAAACTTCTTTATTTATATCTTGACAATTCACAATATCCATTACGTCATTGAATGACGTCTGCAATTGAGCAATTTCCTCAGATATTTCTGAGACTTTATCCAAGAGAATAGTTTGCTTATGCATTTGGCCTTCCATCTCTAGTGAGAAAATATGCAAGGCAATTCTCATCAGATTTTATTAGTTCAATTTCAATCATAAATTCAGATAATGCCATTTGCCATCTAATTAATCTTTTATTTTGAGGCAGAGGTTAATATTATTTTTAATAAATGCTCTTACTTGAGAATTATCCGTTCACAACTTAAATTTTTTTGGTAATAAAAAGTAATAAAATTTATGACATCCTCTTATTACTGCGAGTAATTCTTTTTCATTGATGTGATATCTCTTTTCGGCATCTGAAAACATTCCAGATGCACATCTACATAATAAATTACTTTCTGTTTTAAAAATTGCACTCCAAACTTCTTCAGAAGCATCAGTTTTCAATATAGGATTATCTTCATCAGATGGTAAGGTTTAAAATGGATAATTTTTACATTGCTCTTTTTATTTTCTTTACTAGAGCCATATGATTTTCAGAAAATTCATATTTATTATTTTTCTTCAGTAATTTTTGTAATTCTTTTCTTTTATCCGCTAAGTTGCAGATAAAATCAGATGCATAATTTAATGTTCCTAAAAATCTTTGCAATTATTTTTTATCTTCTAATTTATCAAGAAATGCTTGTATTTTTTCTAAAATATGCGGTTGCATTTTTATTCCTTCACCATTTATTTCTAATCCTAAAAATTCAATTTCTTTTTATCATATTTTCGCTTTCATTTTCGATAATCCGATTCCATGTTTTAAACATAAATTAGAGAATATATTTAAATATTCTAAATGTTCTTCTATTAAATTTGAAGCTATTAATATATCATCAACATATACATATAAGAAAGGATAATCTTTGAAGATTTTATCCATTTTTCTTTGACATATTTGAGGGGCATTTTTTAATCCAAACAGCATAACTAACCATTCATATTGTCCTTGAGGAGCACTAAATGCTGTGTATTTAATACTATCAGGATGCATTTTTATTTGCCAAAATCCACTGTACAATCAAATTTAGAATATATTTTCTTTCTTCTACTCATATATATGAGGGTTTCTTTATGTGGTAAAAAGTATCCATCGAATATGGTTTCATTATTTAATTGTTTGTAATTAACAACCATTCTAGGCTTATTTCTCACTATTTCAACATGGTTTCTTATCATAACTGCAGATAAAGAATGGGGAGAATTACTTTCTCTTATTAAAGGAATTTGTAATAATTCTTTAATTTGTTTTTTGAATTCATCTTGATCAGTAGGATTATACCTCATGGGTTTAACTCTAATTATTTTATTTTCATCTTTGAATTTTATTTCAGCATAATCTTGATTTTTATCCCAAAATTTAAGAGGATTTTCTGTACAGCTTAATCTTAATTTTTCTTTTACATCTTCTTGAAACTCTCTTGAATTTTCCAAAATTAGTTTAGTTGAGTTCTTGAAATTATTCTTGTAATAGCTCTGAAGCAAGTTCTACACACTTGTAATCCTCATATTCTCCAACAACTAATGCTCAAATAAGACTACAGAAGCTATCTCCATATATTGTTGAATAGTTTCTTTCATGATTCTACGAAGATGCTCTGCTTTTAGATTCTTTATGCTTGCTGATGGCATCTTTATGAAACATGCAGGGCACCCTTTACCCATATTACTTGATGATAACAGGCATCTTTGATGAATATTGGGCTTGGCAATCTTTTCGATGAGGTCAACTGATACGATCCTTGCAATTTCGAAAGGCATCAGAAACTTACAAGATTATACATGTAAATTTTCAATTTTTGTGGGATCAGTGTGGACAATTGCCCCCATTGTCTTCGTACTGTCTCCATTTTCACTCCAAGCATATATGTATATTTGGTTAATATTGCCATATGCTATGATAGAAAATAAAATTTGTTTAAATTACATGTAATTCATCTGTAGCAATTACATGTGATTTAAGGACCACTCCAAGATTGCGAACTCAGTTGACATTGCCATCTGTCTCGATATAAGATAGCTATTAGATGATGTCTTTACATAGAGGATTAGGGATAATGACACTTTGTCCCCCTTGAAGTATGGGTAATGACATTTTCCCCCCCTCAATCAGAAGAATAAGCACTTTACCTAATTAAGAACATTCCTGTTTAGTATTTTATAATAGATAAAGATGAATGGCAAGGGTTCCATTTAAAAATTTTTTTTTTTTTAAAAAAAAAAAGCAAAATGATCGAACTATATTTGTTGTTGACAAGTTTAT